CCAGCTGACCTTCCACAAAGCATTTCCCTCCCCCTGTCTATCCTTGATGAGTCTGGGCCTTTCCCACAGCCCACAGCATTGGCTGCCAAGGTCACACTTTATGAATTAGCCAGTAGGTGCATAGATAGACATATACATCCATAATATATCCATATGTGCATGTATACAAAACTCTGTCATCACACTTATGATATGATTGCATTTTCCCCAAAAGATAACATGTACTTCTGAAAACAGGGATGATTTATACTTACACATCCCACAAAGATATTAATGAGCGATGCCTTTATCCCAAGATGCTTTGCAGTGATTAAACATAGAACACCTTGGAAAACAAACAAATGTGACATGTCGTTATTCCAGCGATCTTTCTGATCCTTGTTCTACAGCCAGACCCTGTTCCCTGTACCTCTTTAAGGTTTTATTCTAAAGGTGAGACATTTCACAAGAAGATACGAGTTGAAATTCAAAGGAATGTGTCTAAGAGAAACAGAATTCTGCAGTAGTAGAATTTTGCATTGCTGGGACCCTCAACCATTTGGATGCTTCACTTGTTAAAATGAACTCCCAGCCTGTCCGGAATGTGTTGGATTTTTGGAGAGCAGAATTCTAATTCACCTCATCAGCCTGCATTTGCAAAAGTTTATGTTCGTGTTGGTAATTAGGACAGGGTTTGGGGCCATCTTTGCTCATCAGAAAGACAGTTTGGGGTTTTATTCGGACAAAGAATGGACAGTTATACAGATAATAGGATCGGGGGGGAAATGCCATTCTTCATTTTAAACAGCAGTAGGAAACTGGAAAGGACATTAATTTCTCTAAAGGGCAGCCCTGCTGCATGTTGAACACAACCTTCTACATCTTTAATTAATTGCTATTCTAACTGTTTCATCCTGAGCTTCAATCTCACTCAAAACTCCATGTGGCCTCCTCAGCAAGGAGCCTGTTGAAGCTTGGTGTCTGGTCCGGAGCAGCCTCAGCTCTTCAGGACATATACCCGACTCATGTGACTGTGAGCTTGGAGCCAACTTTCCCAGAAGGAAGGCAAGAATTCCAAGGCCTTTAAAGGGAAAAGCAGGGCAAAAAATAATTAGGCCCAATTACCTTTCCCTTTTAAATGTCCTGTGTTCTCCCTTCCTTTGTCTTCATGGTCTTGAATTGGTTTCTTTGTTTCATATTTTGCAGACAACTTGTTGAGTGGGCTTGCTCTGTGCTTCTCCACATGTTATTTCATTTGTTCCAAAAGGGATTTATTACTGCAAGTCAGACCTTATCTTTTTTAAAAAAATTATTTGCTGGATGCATTGCTAAGAGCATAAAAATCATTTTTGTTTAATAGAAAGCACTAGATTAAGTATCCTCAAATTATTCAAATTGGGACCTACACACATGCACAGGTGTGCTCTGCTCCATCACTTTTAATGAAGCAGTTGTACCATTTTATAGCCCACCTGATGTGTGGACCTCACAGTTCACTCCCTGCCCACACCCGTGCGTTTGTTTTGACTTTAGCCATTCCTATGCAGTTTCAGTTTTCATTTCCATAATACCTTTTGGGGAGAGGAGGGTTAAACATCTTTCTTGTGTTTTTTTTCTGGACTCCTCACACTCGGGGCACCATTTCTGCATCACAGTGAGGCAGTCGGACACGGCCTGAACTCTTCCTCTGCCCACTGTGCAGACACTCCTTGGAAACACAAAGCCCAGACGCTGGCTTCCATCTCTTCTTCAGCACAACCCTGCACGGCCTGCTGTCCAGGCCCTCAAACAGTGATTTCACATAGTTTTCTAGGATTTTTTTTTTTTTTTAGGTTGGGATACAGATTGCATTCTGTCCTGTTACACTGTCATGACTGCCACTGGAAATCAAGTCAGTTTTTTACTTATTTTTATTGGTGTGTCATAATTATGCATGATAGTGGGGCTTGTTACAAGATGATTTGGTCCGTTTGCTCCCCAGTACCTCCCCTCTCCCTCCCTTCTTCCCTCTTCCTGGTCCCTTTCCTTTCTTCTCCTCATCTCCATTAGATTTTCAAGAGATTCGCACCATGCCTCCCACTCCCTTGCTTTTCTTCTCTCATTTTCATGTATGAGAAAAACATACGACCTTGACTTTCTGAATTTGGCTTTTTTCACTTAACATAATCCCTTAAGTTTCATCTGTTTGCCACAAATAATATAATTTCATTTTTCCTTATGGCCAAATAAAACTACATGGTGTATCTGTAATACATATTCTTTGTCCATTTACTCATTGACACACATGTAGGCTGGTTCCACAGTTGGGCTATTGGGAATTGTGCCGCTGTAAACACGAGTGTGCATGGATCACTGTTGTATGCACATTTTCATTCTTTAGGATAAATACTGATGAGTGGTGTAGCTGAGTCATTTGGTAATTCCATGTTAGTTTTTGAGAAAAATTTTTCTAGGTTTTTGTTTGTTTGTTTGTTTGTTTAATGAACCTGGAAGGCTCAAGTCAGATTGTAAGGAAGGCAACTTTTCAGTTTATCACATCTGGGCTCCCTCTCTGTTGGTAACAGAAACCACACCAAGAAAGAAAAGGGGAAAAAAATACTCCTTACTGAATTGGGGGAATTCTGCTAAATAAGAGTGTCAGTAAAGGACAGGGGACGAAGCAATCTGAATAGTGCCACTAAACTGCCCCACTTGGAATTTTATTTCAGAGAATGGAGGGGTTGCTAGTAAAAACAAACAAAAAAAAAATGGACCAAGACAGGAAGCTGTGTTACCCTGTGCTGAACTTGGGAGCCCAGCCCAGTGTTAGCCGGCACACAGGACGTCCTCACTCCCGCTCTCTGCCTTTGCCCCTTTAGTTGCACCTATGAACCCTCCCACTGCAGACTTCTCACGTGAGTCATCCATTCCGCTTCTTTTCCTGCAAAGACTTCTAGACCCCACCTCCTCACTGCAGAATTGACATTCAAAAGGACCAATCCTCAACCTCTCTAGAGACCTGGTCTCTGGGTAGGAAGTGCAGAATTAGACTGCAAGTCACTGAGGTCAGATCTGTTGACCCCAGGAATGGACTCAAGTGTTCACCAAATGGGAAGGACTTTTGAAACAAACATTTTCCAGAACCTACTCACATGAGAGTTCTGTGCCTAGTTCAATTTCTCTTTTAAATGCCTTATCAAAAGGTTTCCCCCAGAAAGTGGTTTCTTGAAACATTTTGGTTTGTTTGTCGGCTTCTTTGGTTTCAGATAATACGTTAGCTTAGTCTTCTATCTATTGAATCCTGCCCAAGAACAATAAGCTTGCTTCCTGTGGTAACAAATATAGTTTGGGAAGCAACTGTAGGATAAGATAATTGCTGGAAGGTATGCCGCGGATGTGCTGCCATTTGGACTTGGTCTTAGGTTGGGGTCTGTTTTCTAGGCTTTATTGCTCATGGTCATCTGGAAATTGGTTTCCATCTCAAAGGGATTTGTAGCAGGAACTTCCTCTTTAAGCCATCACTCTTCTTTAAAGCCAAAATAAAACTTAATATGTTATAAGGCAACAGAAAGCCTCAACAGTAAAGTCGTTTCTGGATTGGAAAAGTATGGAAAAATCTAAGCTTCAATCTTCTTTCCTGAGGCAGAGCAATTTAGGGGCCCCCTAAAGATTTTCTAGTCTCTCACCTTCATGATGAGAAATTGAATGGAGAAGGAATTATCTGGGCAGTTATGCGCCAGAAGTTCAAAAGGAAAGAATGGAGTGAGGGAGGAGGAAGGAGGAGAGTCTCACTGGACCTTTCCAGCTTCAGCAGTTGCACTTCTCCTCCTCTGGGGAAGCCTATGGGGGCCTTTAGTTTTTTTGTTTTTCCTACCCAAGCCTCTTCCTGTGTCATGGACAAGGCTTCTTCTTGTCTGCCGTACTCCTGTGGCTGGGCCACCCAGTCCCCATTTTCACATGTACAAATGAGCACCAGCCTCCTTTGCCATCTGAGCAGTGAAGACGTTCAGGACTCAGCTTCAAGACTCTCTGCTCTGTGACATCAGTGCCTTCCCCTCTGTACCTTGGAAAGGCCATTGCTTAGTGCTCCACCCCTGACCTGGCATCACTTATGTCCTGCCTGACTAGACGAGGTCTTTTTGAGGACAGACCAAGCCCTTTCATACTAAGCTCAGTGGCCATTGAATGAATGATAACTCAAATATTTGTTGCCTTGAAATAAGCTAAATTAGTAAGGCAAGTAGTTCTTAAGTTATTTGCTATAAAACTTAGGAGAGAAACTCATCTCACACTTAGCTTTGTCTTAGTCTGTTTTGTGCTGCTATAACAAAAATGCTGCAGATGGAACAAACTGGGCAGAACTGCTAGCAGTTCTGGAGGCTGGGAAGTCCAAGACTGGCCTGCAGCACCTGTTGAGGCCTTCTGCTATTTCATCACATGGCAGAAGACCCTGGTGTGGTCACATGGAGGAAGGCTTAAGGATGAAGGGGCAAGTGGGAGGAGGGGCACAAACTCGCCCTTTTATTACAGCATTATGAAAAGCCCTTATGACATTATTGCCTGATCACCCAGTAGAGGACCCACTTCCCAATACAATTACAATAGCAATGACATTTCAGCATGAGTTTTAGAAGAGAGATATTCAAATCTTAACTTCTTTGTATATGTGATGTGAATATATGAACATTGTGTGGACAAGTTAATGTGGAAAGCTTATGAAATACTTGCAGTTATTGCAAGTTTGAAACTGAGCCCATGTGGCCCTGTGTGAAGACCACAGAGATGCATCTGTGTCAACAGACAGGATTCATGAACTCGTTGTTTCCCTGTTAATGGCTGCGGAGCTCTCAGGCAGCAGGACAATGACATGCATCAAGACTTTCTTGATGAGGTACATTTGGGAAATGCTGGGATGCAGCCTCACCTAGGAAATCTATCATTTTAACTAAAATTCCATCTCCAGCTTCATGATCTGAGTATCCTCCTTGCCCTATTATCTGGTTCAGACCTATTTACTCCTTCCTTGTTTGTTTGATTTTCAGCTTTTATGGTGGCATGGCACCTGGTTTCTCTCTCCAAGGAAAGTCCAGCCAACAGCCCTTGACACACTGGATTGTTTGATGATCCCACCTGAAGTAGGTATGTAAACCTTCTGCGCCCTCTGGCCCACTCGCCCGTTCTGTGAGTATGCAGGCTCTGAGTGCAGAGTGTGCATCTGTTCCTATTGACTACCAAGGGTGGGATCTCTTCTGCAGAGGCTATGTGTCAGAGATGACCCCTGTCTTTCCTATCTAGAAGTTCATGTGTTGACATAGTGATTCCCAAAGACCCCTTCATGTTCTTGGTTATATGGGAACTCAAACTGAAGAACATCAGTTTCAAGAAAGGACAATTCTATACTTGTGTGGTGGGCTGGGGATGTGGCTCAGTTGGTAGAGTGCTTGCCTTGCATGCACAAGGCCCTGGGCTCAATCCCCAGCATCAAAAAAAACAAAAAAAAACAAAAAAAAACCCACCTATGCTTGTATACTTGTATGGTTCTGAAAACCATAACATTTATCTGCACTATGGTGATCAAATATTTGAAATGGGACTGTCACCCTGGTATGTTTGTAAGCACAGAAGCTGTAGCTTAAAATCCTGACAGATAGATACCAGCTTCTCTCTGTTCAACAAACAAAAACCTAGTTCAAGTTAGAGAAAACTTAGTAATACCTCGGAGTCTAAATGACTATGCACTTGAATTAATGAATGATTCCTTGATCTCTAAGACTTTGTGATAATTTCTTCCTTGGTATATCATGACATAAATATGACGTAAAACAAAAGAATACAATATTTGACAATGTTATTGTTCAGTGAATCCTCTTGAAAGATTCTGAAATTGATTCTCAAATATGTATATGTATGTAGGTGTATTAGGTACACACACACACACACACACACACATCTATAAACCTTGTAGCTCCTGAGTCAATTGCATAATGTGGGGGTTATGGAGATACTTTATTGCAAAAGTCATTGCTTGCTTGTATTCAACTTGCTAAAATATTATCAGAAATACAGCATTGTTGAATGCTAATATAAATTTAGAAAAATGCCAAATCTCTATAAGCTGTATTTTCAAAAGTAAAACTCTATAATGACTTCCCTGCTCATCCTAATTTTGGAAAAAAAAATAAACAATCAACAAGAAAAAATACCAGTCTGCTAAAAATTGAGTTTGGGAAGTAACGCGCAGCCTTGAGAATTAAGACCACCACCACTTAACAATGACCTTGGGAAAATTTTTGTACAATCATAGAAAGATTATTATTATTAAATTCTGAAAAACAAACCAAAATGAAAAGAAGGGAGAAGAGGGGAGAAGGAAAGAAGGAAAAAATGAAAGGAGGAAGGGAAGAAGGGTGGAAGGATAGGAAATAAACCAACCCCAAATTGCAATGCCCCAAATGTGCTTGATCAACTTTTTTCTTAGTGAGGTATCAAGTAATTAATGGCCATGTTTCAAAGGAATTTCAAAGAGTTCTACATTCCATCCAAAATAGAGTTTTACCACCATGACTTAAGGTAGAAGTTTCAACTAGTTGCCTACTTGTTAGATATATCTTAATTTGTTTATTTTGTACTTATTTTGGGCTACACATAATTGATATATGTGATATTAAAAAAAAATAACACGAGGACACTCACAGGAGATCTGAGTTCCCATCCATCTCTTCCTGTGTCAGTCACTGCACAACTGAACTGCTGCTCCAGCCAGGAATCTATTGGTCCTACATACGCTTTCCTCTCCTTCCTCTCCCCATGTCCAGCCCATCTGATTCTCCACAGCCCACCCTGATCCTGAGGGCTCATCTTTCACCTTGAAAAGATACTTGTGCTTGGAATTCCCACCAGAATATTAAATCAACGCCTCCGATACCGAGGCTGGGGCTGCAGAATTTTGAACATTTCCTCAGACGATTGTGACATGCAGCCCGTCTCCCGTGTCTTCACGGCTCTCTGTGTTGGCGGTCATCACCCTTGTCCAAGCCACATTCACCACTTCCTTCTTGTACCGTCTTTCACGAGAGTCCCTGGTTCTCTTTCCCATTTCCACCTCGTCCCTGTTCAATCCATCCTAGGCCCAGCAGCCAGAATAAACATATTTATAGGAAAGTATCAGTTAATTCCTGCCTAATAATAGTAATAATAATAATGGATGAGGATCACTTATACATTGAACAAAGGATCAGAGTTCAGGCTTTGCCCAAGGCCAGAGTCCTGGGGTTTTTAAGTTTTAGGAGGAAATAGAGGAAAGGGTCTAAAAGCAGCAAGTGAAGAGACCAAGGCTGATTACTCCACTTTCTTCTCTGGCCTGTTGCCCAATCTGAGTGTTGGATAAATTGCCACCCAATCTGTGTCCCCATCTCACTTGACCATAAGGAGCAAAGAGATATTATAATTTGGTGGTGACACTATTGCAAGACTAACTTCATGTCACAGCCTCCAAAGTTCACTAAATGTCCTTCCTTTGTACTTGAATGATTCACTTAGCAAAATAAGTTGATCTTGGTGAATTTTCAGGCAGAGTCACAGAACTAGAGATGTCTTCTGCTGTCAGACATGTGGACGACTGTCCTTTTCACCAAGGGATAAGGGATAATGTACCTCTTAACATCCACCTGAACTACAGCAGGAACAGACTTTTCTCTAGGGACTACCTAAAGTATTATTTCAGCCACTGCACTTAGTCTTCACCCCCTAGCATGGTATCTAGTGCATTTCCCATCAGAAGGGAGGTGACAGGGGTGTCAAAAGAAAGTTTTCTTCAGAAAAGTCACCCTGGGAGGCATAGTGATGTTATTGCCATCAGGGTTTAGTAAGGAATCAAGAAATTCAAACCCTACCAAAGCTGCATGGAAATCTGGGTCCACATCAGCACTGCTGGAGCAGGACAGTGACAACTTTGACTTCATACTGGTGACAACTTTTGCCTTCACTTTAAAACCATCACTGTTTTATGGTTTTCACTATTAAAAAAAAAAAAAAAAGTTCAAGGCCCTGTGTTGAAAGAATAGTGAAATTGTTCACGTGTTGTTCAGATAATTGAGACCAACCAAGGCAGGTAGTCAGCCAGCTGGTATTGAGTTAAGGCTGAGGCCCAGCTGCTTCTTTACCCTGAGCTGTTTTCATTAGTGAAGCGGAAGTGCATTTGGGGACCTAAATTGCCCAAAGGATAGGCCTGTGTGGAGCTATCTTGAGTTTAAGAAAACAGTTGTCCTTTTAAGTTTTCTCTTAAATATTTATTTTGGGATAGAAATGGAGACTAAAATACAGAGACACACAAACATACTGAACATCCCTGGAGACATATTATGGAGCACTGCTTATTCATGCAATGTCTTTCTGTTCCCTTTGGGGACCAAGACGGACTGGCCTGTGTACAGCTCCCTTCCATGGTGAACAGAGCTGTAATGAGGTCACAGATTCTTTTCATGTCATTTTGGAAATTTCTCTGAAAGGACTCAGTTGGCAATGGATGCCCCTTACAATCTAGTGTTACATATTAGCACAGGCAAAGCTTTTCAAATAATGTAAAGCCATTTTTTTTTCCCAAATGCCTTGTATCCCTGAGTGTCTAGGTTCCAAATAAAGGAAGATTAAAATCTCTGTGAAATCTATAATAGAGCCACCACATGGAACTGTCAGCAGGAGGGGAATTAATGGTGTCTGAAATGAACCTTGGGTTGAATGTACGTCACCTTGCATATTCTACTATTTTTTTTTATTTGCCATTAATTCCCTTTAATCAGGGAGGTTGGCTGAAACTGAAGCACCATTGGTTAGGATTCATTAAAATAATCTAATGTAAAATGGAAGTGTATTCTGTTTTTATTACAGTGCAGGTACAATATGGACACTGGATAATGTTGAGTTGATGGTGAAGATTTGTATTACTTTATGCTGACACACCAAATGACTCAAAAATGTGCATTTGTCAGTAGATACTTACTATCATATCAACCTTTTTTTTATTCCTATCATTTTGGGGGCACTCTATAGTAACTCTTAAGAGTGATTATTTTAGAAGAAAGAAATGGACTCTTCCAGCCTCCTCCATGCTTGGACCATGTTAGACTTATATAAATACTTGTGAAGTGAGTAAATGGATAATTCAGATGCATTTTTATTTTAAATACAAGCAAATGAAATCACACCACAGCTAGGAACAGACTTAACCAATGAAATAGACACATAAAGCAATGAGCAATAAAAATGGAGATTCGTCAGGTTATAGACACATCTGGGAGGCTCTGCTGAAGCAAAGAGCTGGGCATCACTTTTAAAGGACTTGCGCAGAGCCAAAGGCCACAAAAACTAATATTTTTGTTAGCAGCTCATCTTGATTTTACTAAGGAATGGCTACCGGCTTCTCATTTCTCCTTCCCCAATATTTTTTTCTTTAAGGCCTTTTTTTTTTCTTGTTCCTGCCATTTTGAGGATATATTCTAATGTAAAGAATCCTGATTGAGGCCTCTTATCTCTAACAATTTTGCTAGATCCATGTGAACAAACACTAAGAGAAAAAGTTCTGTAGCATCCTTGTAAACTAGTCTGATACAAAAGCAGGAATACTTGTAAACTATCACATAGCTTCTGCTCTTATCCAGTCAAGTAATAGATATCTGTATCTACATATCCCATTAACTTAAAAAACATTGCTTTGTTTTTCTTTTCCCAAAACTATTTTACCGAGCTGGTTTTCAACGAAGATGTAATGACTCAATTCTTTAACTTTCTTCAAACCATCATTAATGCAATATTTATAGTGTAAAGCTAAGGTTATTCACGTGGAGTAAACACACCGTGCATGCTTCGTGCTCGAGTCCATCTTCCTCTGAGACAGGTGATGTTGTGCATCCGTGCATTTGTGGTCTAAAGTGCCTTCACACAGTGGGTCAGCAGTTCCGTGGTGACGGCGTGAGCTTTGCCTCTAGCAGTCCTGGTTCACACCCTAGATTAAAACGTGCTCTTTGCCTGTCCTTGTTTCTTGACTCATCCTCTGCATGCCCTCTCTGCCCATGAGGACAACAGGGCCCACTTAGGGGCTACTGAGAGGACCCAGTGAAATGAAGTACACAGAATGCTTGCTCCATGACTAGGCAAGGGAAGAGTCCAAGAGTGGTGATTTGAATAGGCATTAAAAGTTTGCTTTTAATACAAACATTTTAAGTTTTTGAAAATAATATTTGCCACTAACATTTTGAAGAGACTATATGTCTTTGAATTAGTTTTTATTCTAAAGTCTACTTATATTCTCCTTTCCTATATCCAGTCTAAAATCCTAAAGTTACTTTTAACCTTTTCCTTAGCTTTTTCTTTTTCTTTTCCTTCATTTATAAACCACTGGACTGTGTTTTCTCAATATTTTAAAATTTTTAATCCTTTTTCTTAAGATACCCTTATTGTAATAATATTAGAATTTTTATAGTCCCAGAGACCTGTGTTTTCTCTTTCTTACTTTATATATAGCATATAACTATATTGAGGTAAAAAAGTATTAATGGAGGTGCTTTTGTGAAATACTTTAGGGGGCTAAAAAAGATATTTAAAGAGCAGAACAACTCTTCGCAATGCAAGCATTTCTAAAGTCCTTAATCCATTTTGTATTCTTAGGATGGTGAACCTGGCACTGCAATATCACCTATTCTCTTGGTTTTGATATTAGAATGAAAGAACATGCCACTTTGGTTGTAGTAATATGATAAATTCACCATATATTAAATAAATTCAAGGCAGCCAATCAAGGATTCAAAGACTAGAATCTGAAGATACTTATGAGAAGATACTACAGTATTTGTTAAAAATATATACATGTATATAAAATTCTCCAGTTCTTTCCCTGGGAGTGTTTATAACCATTAAAGTGAAAATGTAACTTATTCGAATGTTACCAATTATTTTGTTGAAAATATAAAATTAGATTTTTCTGGGTTTTTTTTCAATCAAGAATTTCATACTGAACTGTCACAAATTTAAGTTGCAGGAGGAATGCAGAGTAATAAAATATTAATGTTGTTGACTTTGCTTTGAGCACTTCCTTTGTGCACAGAAAGATTTACATTAGAGTTCAGGCTATGTAAACATCTACATAAAAGAGTAAAAAACAGGAATAAAAATGTAAATGTCTCTAATTAGGATTTTTTAATAAGAGTAAAAAGAATCGTAAAATAGCAGTGCTTATGAATTAGATGTTTGATGATGCTTCACATTAGAAGACATAAAAATGTGCCCTAAATATAGCAAGCCTATCTGAAGGAGGAATTTCCTTTATTTCATCAGTGTTACACTGTGTCTTCAAAGAATTCTCTTCCTCTTTCAGAGAGGCCCTGACTCTGAGATGTTTATTGACTTCTGCCTATCCTGTGCCAAGCAGCCTTTTAGACCCTTTTAGGCACTAAAGTTGGAGCCTTTATAGGGTTTGTACTCTAGTGAGGGCACAGAGAGGAAAGAGAGGCACATATAAATATGCAGAGTCTCCTAGGCAAGGGTATCTGGAGTTGCCCAATTAGGAAAGATTTTGGAATATTCCATCTTTCCATAGGTCAGTTCAAAGCCTGGGAAATCGTGAGCTTGCCCAGGAAGCACATGCAAAGTGATAAAGGACCAGACCCTGGGGACTGCCCATGCTTCTGAGCTCAGAAGGTCCTAGAACATGCTCACAGGGTCACTTCACTCTCAGAGAGAGACGTGGAGTTCTGGGATAGAGGCCTCATTTTCTTCAAAGCCAGTAGGTTTTTCCCTGCCATACCACCCAGAATCCAATGGTTCATATTCCTATTTGTTTCCACGGTCTAATAAGAAAACAAGTTTGGAGGGACATAATTCCTGCAATTCCTGAATTGATCCCAGTCAGGCAAAATAATTACCACAAAAGGCTATATGAACATAAATTGAGCATGTTTCATGAAGAAGTACTTTCTAAGAAAGAAATCACTTAAACATAGTAGTATATGACTTAAAAATTAGCCCTTTATGGAAATTCCTAAAAAAAAAATGATTTTCTGTGTGCTTTGGGGAAAGAGCTGTATACACGTGTTTTGAAAAGAGCTGTATACTGATGTTTGTACTGGTGCTCCTGAAAGTTCAAAATATTTGTGTGACATGCAATGGCTGAAAAATTTTAAACATATATTTTTATCTAATTCATCTCTTTCTAACAAAATACTTCAGCATATACTTGCACTGTCCATTGAGACAGGGATCCAGAGGGTTAAGGAGAAACTGCAGAGTGCCTGAGGTTGAAACATGATGATGTGGACCCCAGCTGAGGGCAGCAGAAAGCAGAAGCCCTTGGTCAGGCAGTGGTCTCTAGGCGGGACCAAGAGAGCCACAGTTTTGCACCCCTGGGTGCAGCTTGTCAGGCTCCACAGGAGCTCAGGGCTGGGGCTGGGTGTTGCTGGAGGGATTTACTGTGAGGCTGGAGAAGCCAGAAGATGGTCCCATTCAGGGAGCAAGTCCTCCAGGGTCATAGAGAGGGAGCTGGGCAGCGTGGACCTGGAAGGGCTGGCTCGTGATTTCCCGGAAGCGGCTGGCTTTCCTTTTAAACTTGTAGGATCCCATCAGACTTCTAGGAAGAAAGCACTGGTAAGTGAATGAGGAACTCTCCAGGGTTTGGTTCTGAGAGTCATTTTTGAAAACATTATGGAAATGCCTCTGTGTTTGCTCAAAGAATTTTACCTCACTCGGTGTGTTGTGAAGACATTCTCCTGTTTCTTAGAAAAAAAAAAGAAGAAATAATATTTTAAAGGTCAGAGGCCACACGAGCTCCTTATCATTGAGCCAAAAGGCATAGATAATAAAGCCATGCATTCCATTTAATTTAAATAAAATGTCAGTTTGAGAAAGTAACTATGAAGCCATTGTCTGAAGATAGATGAGAATGACATTAAGCTGTGTCCCTCATGTGTAGCTGGGGATCTCTTCATACAGTAACCCATCCATTTCACATTTTAAATATTGTTCTAGAGAGAAAATAGCCAAGCATCATTTTAAATGAATTCTAAATGTTTTGTGTGGTGCTCCCCTTTTCCTCTCAGTCATGATGACGTCTCCTCATTTGGGTGTGTGTATGAACAGTGGACAAGGGCTTCTCTCCGCAATTGAAGTAGAACATCCACATTAGCTCAAGGCTTACAGACTCCTCAGGCACACCATTTGAGGGTGTCCCCTAATGACTAAGTGTCTGGAAAGATCAGTTGTGAAGCCAGAAAAATCAAAGAATACTTATTTCCGTGTTTTGACAAGACTCCTGAGGCAAGAGGTCCCGGGGAACCCAATGATCTCAAAATGAATTAGTAAAGTTGAATGTCACCAGTGTCTCAGGTCAGTTCCTCTGGACGCCTCTCCTGAAATCTGCTCCAGGTTCTTTCTGTTGAATCTGAAAGGTCATTTCAGTTTGGGGCATTTTGAGCAAAACAGTCTTGTCTTCCAGATAAATAAATATTCAGAGGTTGGAATCAGTCCAGCTGTGAGATGAGTTTGGGCGTCTGTCTTTAGAAGCACTTGACCCTGTCAGTGATGATGATGCTGTTCATCTTCCTGAGAATTTTGCATACACATGGGCCAGGCTTTTCTCTGGGGCAGAGTGTGCTTGGAGTCTAAAGAACTAATGTCTGAGAATCAATACTTGGGAATTTAAAATCTAGCTAGAGAAGATTTCCATATAAAAAAATAATCGAAGGTCTGTGGTTAGTTCCAATGCTGAAAAATGAACCCCGCTTGACTAAGAAACTAGCAGCTGAGGTTAGGAAGGAACTGCTGGGTCTCCTGGTTTTGAATTTTTGTCAGCTACTGTCAAAAGAGTACAGGGAGTGCCAGGTGATCCTTGTGCTGTGCTCAAGGCTGATGAGACCCTAATGAGTATATTGGTTCCATAACTTTGAGAAAAGTGAGTCTTTGAAGATTTTGTGCAATAATCAAAAAGATGAGTAGCAGAACAAAAGGCAGGAAAAGTCATGAATGGGAGGCACTTTGCCAAGAGGAAACTCAGCAGTCTCAAAGCTGGTGAACAGCTACTTGAGAGAAGAGCGTCATCCTTATACTCTTTATGCAAGAGACAAAGCAAGCGATCACGGGCTCGGAGGTTGTTATGTTAGAGGAAGGAAAAAAGTTTCTTGAAGGTGGATCTTGGGAAATAACAGGAGTGAGAACCAGAGAGGATGTGACATTTAATTTTACAAAGCATTGGGCCAAGAAGAAGATAGAATTTTCATCTGTTTGATTTGGCTCTGGTGCATCCTGACTTCAGATTGACTCTTGAATCTTTTCCAACAGGTTCCATGAATTTTATTCACACAATCCAGAATTACACATCTTAAGTGCATTCAGGGGTAAGAAGCCAGGTCATGTACAGTGTTTATATTTTCACACTGGGCAAGGCATTCTTGTGCATTACTTCCTTCACACTACTTTGTAGAAAAGGCCTTTGGCCCCCTACAAAATCATGTCTATACAGTTCAAATTAGACTCTCTTCATCCCCTTCTTGTTCACAAGATACTAATAGTTTTGTCTTTTCAGAGTGTGATGGACAGAATTGTGAAACCCCCAAACTTCCTGTGTTGACGCTGTATCCCTGATTTGCCTGATTTGGGTGAAGGATTCTGGGGAGATAATGAAGGTTGGATGAATTCATTAGGGTGGGGCCCTAATCCAATAGGATTGGTGGCCTTATAAGAGAAAGAGATCTCTTTGTGTCTGTCCCCAAAAACGACTTGCCATAGTTGAGAAGGTGGCTTTCTGCAAGATAGTAGGAAAGCCCCTCCCAGGGACTGATTGGCCAGAACCTTGATCTTGAACTTCCTAATCTCCAAAGCTGTGAGAAATAAATGTGTATTATTGAAGCCACCTAGGAGCCTTTTGTTATAACAGCCAAACAAACACAGAAGAGTTAGCTCCTCAACTATCATAATCTCATTAGTCTTGAATTGGTTTAATTGAGAAGTTGGAGAAGGCTTTTCTTAGAGTTATCTCCATTCAGGTCAAAGAGAAGGACTTTAGATAGCTAGGCAAGGTGAGGTGGTGAGGGAAGGCTCCGGCCAATCCTCACTCCAATGGGTTCCCGTTAGAGCCTCAAGTCCTGTGAGGAGGGCAGTGGAGAAGCCCTTCATTGGGACTTGGTCAGAGCTTTGGTGACATGAGATTGGTGATGAATTTATAGGTTTTCCTTCAGCCATTGCGCCTGATGGAGTTATTTTTCTAATGTGAATAAAAGGCATAAAAGACGGGTTACCTCTGAATGACAAAAAATCATGTTTCAGGAAGATGGTTTCACATA